GATAATTTCCTACCATTTTGTCTGTAATTTGCTAAGTCCCCCCTATTATTATGTTATCCTTCTTTATTCTTTAAAATAAAAAAAAAAATCTTTAATAATACCTGTATCAGACAGGAGGGTTAATTCTCATGTTACTATTTTACAAGTGAGGAAACTGTGATGTTAATGTCATATTATTCTCTTCAATTTAATAAATATACTTGTATAATATGGAGGACCTCCTGGGCTACTCTGCTTGAAAGAGGAGCAGTTGTCTCCATTTTGGCTGAACCTGACCCTGTTTCCATGCATTGGTATGTACAGAGCTGGCTGGGACTTCTTTTCTTTATCCCTTCAATTGGCTTTAAGCAAGGTGCTGATAGTCTTTGAAGAGGGCAGGTGTGTGTCATTGTGTATGGTGCCGCCCTCCCCCCTTTGTTCTCACGGGGATGAGGCTGGGTGTTGTGCCAATGTTCCACGCTGTCTGCTGGGATCCCGAGAGCCTTGAGACAGAGCATATGACTTCCTGGGGCTTGAAAGATTACACATCAGTGCTAAAGCACCAATCCCAAAATATTAGATACTATTTACACGTCAGTGCTGAAGCACCAACCCCAGAACATTAGGTACTATCTCAGTTGTGTTATGCAGGTTACTCTTTCTGCATATCCTACTCTCTGCATTTGCAGAGGTGATTTCAGGCCTCCTACCTAGCCCAGCTCACGGCACTCACCTACTCCCCTCGATTCTCACAATGACTTATCCTCAAGCCACTCCCTTCTTCATGAACAAATAAAACCTGGGTTTGGCCTTGGGTCAAGGCCTTTGTTTCAGATAGCCATTATTATGGCTGGACTTAGGACCCCTTGGCTCCTCATAACTACAAATATGCCTTAGTGTTATAGGCAGCTGAGTTAGATAGAAATATTATAGGCAGTCAGACAGGGCCAGGTCCTTGGAAGACAAGATACCTTGCAAATAGGGAGGTGGTACTTGCTGTGGGCCAGGGCCAGACCTCAAGACAAAAGATTAAACAAATGCACCCACATACCTCCCTAGGGATGGACATCAGCGATTGATATTCTAAATAGGTAGCAGTCACCTTGAAGAGTCACTGAACCAACCCCTTACAGGAAAAGTCCGCGTTCTGTATTCATGCCTGCTTGCTAGGTGACTCGCTTTCTCATTTGATCCCGATTTAATCAATTTTGCCTGAACAATTCTTATTGGCTGACCATAGTTTTGTCCCACCTCATGCCCACCTTGTGATTTACCATTTTTCCTCCAAACGACCCACCTCACCTCGTGGTTTTGCTCTATAAAAATCCTTGGAAAAGACAGGTTCCCCGGGCAATCCACTGGAGTCCTCTTCTGTCCCTTTCTCACGCAGAAGCTTTCTTAACCTCCATTGTTCCTAAGATTCATTTTTTAATTTTAGAGAACATGAACTCGTCCCAGATATCGTTCAGGTTGGGAGCTTCTTTCCCCCATATCATTAGTGTTTTAATTCTCTCCATGGACTGCACTGGAAGTGGTAGATTGGAATTGACTTACTAGAATTCAATAACTTTTCCATGGAGTTACAAATATAACTTCCTGGGCCGCAACAAGGACAAGGAAGGTCTCTATAGCATAAGTGAAAACAGTATTGTGCAGATATGATTCAAAATCAGTCCCGCTGAGGCAGCAATCAATGCTCTGTGCTTCCCTTTAGGGCATTTGAACTTTCTTTTAGGCTTGGTTTTTGGGTCTCAGAGAAAATTCAGTATTAAAGATATATTGAAGCCCTGCCAAATAGGAATGGCAAACTAAGCATCACTGACACTGGCTCGAATCCCAGTCTTGGCTGTCTCAGAGGGAAGCCAGCACTGACACAGGGTACATTCAGTTACCAGTTGTCCACCCAAAGGATCCCCTGACTCCCCTTCCACTGACCTGGGAGCAATTTGTATTAAATAGAGATTGCCTTCCTTCAGCTTACTCTTTCTTGTTAAATGAAAGCTTAATAAGAACTTCAAATCCTGTTGTACTCAGTTTTAGCACCCTACATTTTCTCTTTGGAGTAAGAACATGCTGTTGGGTGATAACCCGTGGAATTTTTCTCAGATCGCTTCTCATGTCGATTGCCTTCATCCTCGCTGCCGTTCCTTAAAATACTGGCATCTGGTGATGATGATTTGCTGCCGTGTCTGCTGACCTCATCGCCAAGCCAGAGAAACGGTAGACTGAAGTTCAGGGCTTAGTGTATCCAATGGGTGAAGGAAGAAGCTGGAACACAATTAGGCTCCAGGACTTTTCAAGGTCCCTCTGGTAGTTAGGACCTGTGCTGCTCCTTTTCAGAAGAATAAGGTTGGAGAAAACCTATCGCTGGATTAAAAGTGCGAGTGCCGAGACAAGGTGGGAGCGCTTCCTCTTTCTGTAGGTTGGCGGGGAGGAAGGAGACTGCAGAATGGGCGCTGTGCTGTACGGAACCTGGGCTACCAACAAGGAGGGAACAGCAAGCCTCTCCGATACTGAATCTTAATGGGCTTCTGATCGCTGTTATCACAAAATAAACACGCTTACAGGCAGACAGCAACCAGTCTCACACTGGTCCCTGAAGTCAATCCTCAAGGAGCGCTGGGAGGCCAGCGCTTTATCCTCGCCCATGGAGGCAATGGACGAAGAGGCAGAGCGCTTTAAGGATTCCGCACCCAGCCCATTGCAAAGCAGGAAGCCTGAGTCTTGTATCCAAGCTTTCTCGGTAGATTTTCTGGGGTCCGGACTGGAGCTGGAAAGGCTCGTCCTAGGACACCTTTGAAGGTTCACAGTCCAGAGAGCAGAGACCCCAGGAACGGAGTTATCTCTTTAAGGCCACAGGGGGGAGCGCGCGCCAACGTGGAAGGGAACCCGGGGCTCCGCGCTCTTTCTCCTCAAAGTTCCTTTCTTTCCCGCAGCTGGCCGGGAGGCCAGGGAGGGGCTGGGAGGTTTGCGCGGCAGCCGGGGGCG